TATGAGCCCTGGTGACACAGTGGTTAAGCGCTCTGGGCTGCTAACCAAAAGGTCAGTGGTTGGAATCCACCAGTTGCTCTGCAGGAGATCCATCCATATGGCATTCTGCTTCCATAAAGATCATAGCCCTCCATAGGGCTTCTCTGTTCTACAGGGTTGCTGAGTCAGAATTGACTTAACAGCAATAGGTTTTACACACATACACAGACATGTGTCACTTAATGTCTGGCAACGTCTAAGCACACATACCATATTTTTACACAAAGTGCACAACACCCTTGTCAGTTTCCTATGCACATTACAGTGAAAATTACAGTGCATTCATGGGCCAGGGCACCCATGTATCTGACATCAAACCCGTCTTGAAGTCAGAGCACCTGTTCTGCTTGGCTGCTGTGCACAGCCCAAGAAGCCACCTAGTCTGTAGCAGTGGAGGCCCAGGCGCAAATTCCCAACCTTGGTCCCTCTCAGCTCCTGCGTCTCAGTGGATTTGGTCCTCATGTTTTGCCTGATATGGTCTGTAGGATGCTGATGGACAGGTATGCACCCTGACCGCCCCAGCCATGCTCAGCCCCCTTGGTGGCCTGCATCATCCCCTTTCAGGGCAGGTTCTCATGGCTTCCTTGTAGCTAGCTGGCTTAGCAGAGAAGATGGTGACAGCTGGGGGAGACTCTGTGGAACACTTACCTGAGGTGTCTGCATCAGGAGTTGCCGTGGGACTTGGCCAAGCACTTCCTTAAGGTGTCTACAGCGGGAGATGACTAGCTGTGCACCACACAGCAGCCCCTAAGTTAGTGTACCGGGAAGCCCCTTGCCACAAGACACAGGTGTTCACATGTCCAAATCACATAACATCCTATTTCACAAAACGCATTGTGGATGTTAAATGATGTATAACTGGGGTGTGTGCGCGCGCATGTATAAATGATGTATAACTGGTGTGTGTATGTGTGTGTGTGTGTGTGTGTGTGTGTGTGTGTGTGTGTATATATATATATATATATATAAGCGCTAAGGAGCCCTGGTATAACGGTTAAGCACTTGGTTGCTATCTGAAAAGTTGGTGATTTGAACCTACCAGCCATGTGTTTAAGACCTGGCAATGTGTTGTCATAAAGATTATAGCCAAGAAAACCCTATGGGACAGTTCTACTCTGTCCTTCAGGGTTGCTATGAGGCAGAATTCACTCAATGGTGATGGTACACAACATAGCTAATTTTCTCTTGGTACTTGATTAATTAGGTTCAAATCCCAGAGAAGAAATTAGTTATTATAGATCTACCACATATCAACTGGAGAGACTGCCTCATAAATTCAGATTCCTTTATATCATAACTTAATAAGCATTTCTAATTTTTACCTCCTTTAATGCAGGCATTACAAGGAGCCAGTCAAATTATTGCTGAAATCCGAGAGACTCATCTTTGGTGAAGAGAACTAGATAATAGTAAAGACTCACTCAACTCACTAGTTACTGCCTACTTCAGTAGAATTTTATTTATGAATTCTTGTGTATTGCAGTGGTATGAATCTGCTCATGTGAAGACTGGCTATAAACTGAAAAGTGTACTCTGTATTGCAGAACAAATCATACATTTAATCCAAATAATAAATGGCTGTTTCTAAAGTTTTCCAGTATATATATATAACACATCAAGTCTGTCTGTGACAGTTTCATATGAACATGAAAAGAACTGTAATGTTCTAGTAGTACAAGCAGTTTTCTGCCTGTGGATAAGATGAGCTGTGTAATCTTTGTTAGTTGTCTTAAAGCTGCTGCCATAGTCTTTCAAGAAGAAATTACCAAGACAACATTTCATACAACTATAATGCATGTGCTGTATAAATTGATCTGGCTTTGAAAAATTTTTTTTGACAAGCTAGAGTCACTGTTTTCCACTTGTCTGTCAATTGACAGGTCTATTTTTCTTTAGTTTCTCTGCAACTGTTCTTGTGTTAGTAAGAAAGTTGAATGCACAAGATTTGTAACATTGAAAGTGATGAGGTGTACATGTGTGCTAGCTACATTCCATTCCTGGGTTCACAATGCCTGAGTGCATTTACAAGTTAAAATACTCTATTATTCTTACTTCAGTCTGGAAGCATGAATCATAATTTCCTGCTTAAAAACAACCATCTAAACTTGACTAGTCAGATATGACAATGACCAGTTCCTTTCAGTTTTCAGAGGTCTCAATGATGACCTATACTCCTTTTGGTTTGCAAATACAGTGATGGTAATCAAGATACATCTTTAAAATGGAGTACTTAGACCATGCTCCAGTTTACTTTGAAGTGGGACTTAAAACCACTTAATACTTTACCACAGAGAAATACTTGTGGAGCTTATGAAAAGTGTACACACGCGCTCCTAAAGGCAACAAACTACTGAATTGCATTCAGGAGGTGGAGGTTTAGAACATATCCATACTTTAATATTAAAGTTTGACATGGGATTCTTGGTATCTAATCTATGTTACAGATATTAAGTTGTTGGTAGAAATTCTAGGACACCTATCTCTCTTTAACAGATAACATCTTAAATAATTATAGATAATAAAATTTCAGTTTATGACCAGATATTTCTTAAGGATACTGACAGGGAAAATAAGAATATGTTAACTCAAGTTCCCAATAACCAATTACTAAGAAACAATAAGCTCAGCACTGATCTGAAACACTGGGGGCAAGGGGAACCCAAGTAGGATATTGGTACTATTTTCAATCTGTTTAGTATGATCTTAACAAATACACATTACCAGAATATTTGTTAGCAAATTAAAAAATTTAAAAAAAATTTAGAAAGTCTCTCTACCATCATTAAACATCAGTTTTGAAATTATGGCCATCCACTTATTTCAGATAGTAGATAAAAATTACCATCATTCTGAATGTCATGGCCTTCCAGCCCTTTGGATTTGTAAGGAAAATATCTTACAATGTACCTTTCTCTCCCAACATATTAAACAGATTTCATCTCTGAAAATGTTGGCTTTGAAGACACGCTATGGTAATGTACTTGCTAGTACTACACTTGTACAAAGAAAAATAGGCAAAAAACTTAGGGAAAGCGAACTCCTACCTTTGTTGGCCATTAAACTGGGTGAAGTTCTGAAATGTAAAGATGGCTTCTGACATTTATTATGGATACATGTATGCTATTGGTCTGTAAATAAAACTGCTGGTATGAAATGACATTGATGTTTGTCAATAAATGAATACTTCCTAAGGAAAACTGGTTTCATGTTTACTCAGAGAAAGGTGGCTTTTAACACTGAAGTCTATCTACTTTGAAACATACCAATTCAGCTTAACCTGTACAAAAAGTTTGTATGTATTTTCCTGTTAAATTTTCACAACTCACTGAGGTATTATTACATCTCCATGTTTACGTATGAGGACACATTGATTTGCTCCAAGTAATCCAGGTAGAATGTGAAAACTAGAATGTGAAAACTAAAGCTATGCTTTGCTGCCTCTATGGTTTTTTAGAAGAAATGTGATTGTGAACCATTTTTTGATGTGTGCTTCACTTGATTCTGAGGGAAATAAGGGATGCTATTACCTTGATTTTACAGGTGTGGAAATAGTTCTGGAGAATTAATCTACCTAAGGTAGGTAAGCTAAACTGAATCTTCATTTCAGATCTTTTAAGTCTGTTCTGAAAATGTCCCTTTTAATCTTATAAGGTTGTATTTGCCTCTTTTTAACTCTTCTTTGGTCACTTCACTTTTCAGATTCTGTTATGTTCAATTTGCTTGGGACAGAAGATACAACTTAAATGTCAGAGTTTCCAAATTTATAAATGACTCCTACCTTACCAAGTACCCACTATTGTCGAGTTGATTCTGGCTCCAGTGGCCCTATAGGACACAGAACTGCCCTCTAGGGTTTCCAAAGCTGTAAATCTTTATGGAAGCAAACTGCCTCATCTTTTCTCCTGCACACTAACTGGTGGGTTCAAACCACACACCTTTTTGGTTAGCAGCCGAATGCTTTAACCACTGCACCACTGGAACTCAAACCACAAACCAAACTCACTGCTGCCCAGTCAATTCTGACTCATAGTGACCCCTCCTTGGGTTTCCAAGGTGGTATCTCTACGGAAGTAAATTGCTCAATTTTCCTTCCTAGTAGTAGATACTGGGTTTCAACAACCAACCTCTGGTTAGCAGTCAAATGTCTTAGGCACTGCGCCACCAGAGCACCTCAACTAGAACTACTGTTACCTTAATAAGCCATTAATTAAACAGGGCTGTGGATTATAATTATACTAAAATTTAGGGAAGGGAATGGAAAACTGAATTAGAAGCTTTCTGAAAGTTCAAGTACTGATTTTTGTTCTGTTATTTGAAAAGAAACTATTTCTACTATAATTTCTAATGCACACTATGGCTTCATCTAAATTTTCTCCTTTTCAGATAGAACTACATATATCTGCTTCCTAAACAAGAAGATAATCAAATAGTATTTTACAAATTTACAATATTAGATATTGTTTTTAATATGGACTGAAGTGCTGCTAGTTTTAGAATGATTGCACTGGTGAGGTAAGTGCTCTGTATCTGATACAAAAACCAAACCAGCTGCCGTGAAGTCTAGTCACCTCATATAAAAGTTTATAATCCCATATATGATCTGTTTTTCTCTGTTCCTCTTCATCACTCCAAAAAGGAAAGCAAGCAGGGTAGGGTAGAAAAGCATTTAAGACTTTTTCATAAAGTGTAATTTTTAAAAAAGATTATCTCTGAAAGTCATTGTTTTCTATGGTAGTCCTTAATGTTTGTGGATCAGGAAATAAAAATATTCCACCATCATACAAGCACCTTATTAACAACCAACCTATATATATGAAATTACTCACACTGTGAGGCCTAGAATATATTCCATCCTGTTTTTTCTGATTTGCGTAGGCGAAGGTCTAAGTTCTTGAGCCAACCTTTTATGTATCTTGAGAATAAATGATGGATAAAATTTGAACAACCAAAAGGATTTTTCTTTATAGCTGAAGCCATTTTATAATGTAAAAATTCTTTTTTCCTATTTTAAGTAGTGAAAGTCCATTCTTGAGTATATGTTGTCCAACAACTAAAACACTCTCAGGATTTGTTACTGGTTTGTGATTTATACTAACTCCGCCTTCTGTTATCATCCGATACCTAAAAATAGAAATGTTTAGAGACTAGATAAATTAAATCATAGTTGAATCAAGAATACAGACACAACACAATTTCATTTAAATTTCAGAGATTCTCCAAGCCATTTAGCCCTGTACTGTTATATTCCTCTTCATTCTACTAGAGTCTCCCTCCATTTTATGCTTTTCCAAAGGAACAGATTTAAGGAATAGGAGGTTTCTTTGTTTAGTGGAGGAAAAAAAGCTGGGATATCTCACAGCTCTTGATAGAACTATTTAGTTGGTAGTGGATAACCACTTTCTGGAGAGCACCCCTATCCATAAAAAAGGAAAGAAAATCACAGAAAAGAATTTTACCAAAAATAAAGAGGAGACCAATCCCACTTTTAATAACCTACCCATGAGATAAAAGTCACAAATACATTGTTATCTATAGTAATCTTTAGTAAATTTGCTTATGAAACTGGAAAATTCTTACAAATTATATTCTTAGACTATGCATATAATAGCAAAATCTGTAGTAAAATAAAAGCAAACATTTCTTAGAGATGAACTTGGCTGACTTTAGAAATGGAAAATCAGCAGCTGATATATTAAATTCTAGATCACAAACATTTTTTGATGATCTATGCAAAAGTAAATAAGTTTTAAGTTTTTTATATTATCCAATATATCCAATAAACATTTATACTCTTACTATGTGCTAAATATGAATAGTATTGGAATCTATCCAGACAAGTGAACATTACAACATACTGAAAAGTGCTAAAAAAAAAAAAAAGGATGCTGTAGGATGGTGGATGTGACACCTAAACTGGAAGAGTGAGCAGTAACTACCTTCATAAACAGGGCAAGGGAACATGGGAGTCACTACAAAGAAGTGAAATGTGAGAATAAAGAGGGCTAGAGCATGAATGGCTTTGGCAGTTCTTATGAAAGGCAAACGGTTTTCTCTTACTTGAATGTTACCAAATGACATTAAGAAGCAACTACTCCACACAGTTTTGTAAGTACAATAGTAAAAGATTCACAATTAAGACTTTTTTTTTAAGGAAATATTATTTTAAGTTGTTTTCCAGTTTCTGATCATGTTCTACATTTTGTTGAAATGCAAACCAAACCCTATAGCTTATACAACTTAATCAACTTTTCTATATATCTAAAGAAAAATGTCAGTATTGGCACCCTGGCTAAATTAAATACGGTGCCATATTAAGTAGTGGTAAAATTCTACTATTAGTAAACAAGTCAGGAAACTCTAGTGAAATATAAAAATACTTCCAATGAGGAAAATTATTTTAACCAATGACTCACTGTAGGGGAGGTATATTACACCACTCACAAATTCAGTGTATATTAAATAAACAAGCATATGTTTGTGTTGTTGGTAGGTGCCATTGACTTAGCAACCCCATGAATAATACTGCTGGTCCTCTCCCATCCTCCCAACCGTTGCCATGTTTGAGTCCTCCAGGGAATAGTCTCTCCTGACATGTCCAAAGTACATGAGATGAAGTCTCACCATCCTCACTTCTAAGGAGCATTCTGGCTGTATTTCTTCCAAGACAAATCTGTTTGTTTTTCTAGCAGTTCACAATATATTTCGTATTCTTTGCCACCAACGTAACTCAAATGCATCAATTCTTTGGTATTCCTTATTCACTGTCCAGCTTCCACATGCTTATGAGGCAATTAAAAATACTATGGCTTGGGAGCTCTGGTAGCACAGTGCCTAAGACACCTGACTGCTCACCAGAAGGCATTTGATTGCTAACCAGAAGGCTGGCAGTTCAAACTCACCAGCCACTCCTCAGAAGGAAGGTTGGGCAATCCTACTTCTGTAGTGATACTGCCTCGGAAACCCATGGAGGGGTCGCTATGAGTCAGGGCCGACTCGACGGCAAAACAACAACAACAACAACAACATGGCTTGGCCCAGGTGTACCTTAGTCCTCAGAGTGACATCTTTCTTTTTTTTTTTTAACACTTTCAAGAGGGCTTTTGAAGCAGATTTTCCCATACAATATGTCGTTTGATTTCTTTACTGCTGCTGGGCATTTACTGTTGGATCCAAGTAAAATGAAATCCGTGACAACTTCAGTGTTTTCTGTTTATCATTATGTTGCTTATTAGCCTAGTTGTGAGGATTTTTGTTTTATGCTGAGGGGTAATCCATACTAAAAGGTGTAGTCTTTGATCTCTATCACTAAGTTCTTCAAGTTTTCACTTTCATCAAGCAAGATTGTGTTATTGTATATCAGAGGTTATCGAGTCTTCCTCCAATCCTGATGACTGGACTTCATCTAGTCCAACTTCTCAGATTATTTGCTCAGCATACAGATTGAATAAGTATGGTGAAAGGATACCACCCTTTCCTGATTTTAGTCCACATAGTATTCCCTTGTTCTGCTGAAGTACTTTCTGGTCTGTACATACAAGTTCTACATGAGTACAATTAAGTATTCTGGAATTCCTATTCTTTGCAGTGTTATCCATAATTTGTTATGATCCATACACTCAAATGCCTTTGCATAGCAAATAAAATACAGGTAAACATCTTCCTGGTATTCTCTGCTTTCAGTCAATATCATCAGACATCAGCAATGATAGCCCTCATTCCACATCCTCTGCTGAATCCAGCTTGAATTTCTGGCACTTCCCTTTTGATGTACTGCTATAACAGCTTTTTAGTTATTTTCAACAAAATTTTACTTATGTGGGATATTAATGATATCGTTCAAAAATTTCTGCACAAATAAAATTAAAAAATGGGCACAAATATGGATCTCTTCTAGTGAGTTTGCCATGTAGCTGTCTTCCAAATTTTTTGGTGTAGACAAATGAACATTTTCCAGGTTACATTCTTTTGCTGAACATCTCAACTGGTATTCTGTTGATTCCTGAAGCCTTGTGTTTTGCCAGTGTCTTCAGTGCAGTTAGGACTTCTTTCTTTAATACCATTGGTTCTTGATCATATGCTACCTCCCGAAATGGTTGGAATGTTGACCTACAACTCAAAGCTTTAATTTTTTTTCTTAACTTCTTTTAGCTTGAGAAATGCTGAGCACGTTCTTCCCTTTTGGTTTTCTAACTCCAGGTATTTGCACATTTCATTATAATACTTTACTTTGTCTTCTCAAGCCACCCTTTGAAATCTTCTGTTCAGCTCTTTTACTTTATCATTTGTTTACTTTATCTACTCTACATTCAAGAACAAGTTTAAGAATCTCTTTGGGTATCCATTTTGGTCTTTTGTTTCTACTTAAGGACCTTTTGTGTATTAGAGAATCATTAAGGTGGAATGGAAGGTGATGCAAAGGGAAACAGTGGAGGTTGTATAAATATAAAGCAATCTAGGGCTCTTTAGTATAGCAGCAAATAAACCAAAATAATTTGAAAGGAAACAGCACACATAAACAAATACCATCCATAATGACTGTAGGCTAATAACTATTTGACTTATGCTCATACTCCTGTAGATGAAGCATCTAGGTCTTCTGGCTGACCAATACTTTTTCTTTTACATGACTGTTTCCTTATAAATTGATAAGCATCAATTATATACACTGAATTACTCTCTTATAGAGCACCTTCTTCCCTAATAATACCACTTAATTAACTTAAAATATTTTACCCACTTTGTGAATAAGAAAAACATACAATTCCCAAGGGGAATAATATATAGTTTATAGTAATAGTCTTATAAAGGTAGATCATATGCTTATTTCACTTTTAGAAAATCAACTAACATTTTAAATACGCTGAGCACTTCTGCATACTTCCTCCAAATAGTATGAAAAGAGGTGGTGTGAATCTGTTCACTTGGGGCTTCTGTTATCTGTAACCTCAAACTGACCGTTTCCCTGGACTGATCCCAGTGTATAAATGTGGTCTCTTAAATGCAAGCCTCTTCCAATGCTGGAGAAAAAGTGACTGAGTTAGACTTAATGAAAGACAGCATAGTAGTACTGCACCTGATAAAAAAATTTAAGGTATTTTCAACATTAACTATATTCTATTTTCACTTTATATTATGACTAATATAACTTCTGCATGGAGTGTGCAGTACCATTAAAGCAGTATCAGGGAAACACCCTCTCTGAAAAGAACATGCTGTGAATTTTAACATTTAATTTTCAATCAGCCATGAATTTAAAAGTTAAAAAATTTTACCCTCGGGGGCCATCTGGAATGGCATTCGCTTTGCGGCAAGTATCTAGGACGCTTGTTCCAGGGTCAAGAACTAATTCGGAAAATGAAGCTTCCTTAAACAACTCTTTTAACTCTTCATCAGACATGACCTCCAGTGCATCTATGCTATTATGATAAAGAGCTTGTGTACACCTGAAAAACAAATTTTTAAGAGTCAAATCATGAATGCTTATTAAAATGCATGTTATAATACCCAATAATCAATTATGGAGTGCCCATTATGTTTTAGACTGAGTTTTTGAGACACTGAAATCTATCTTTATAATTCGTAAATTTTATTTAGGATAGTCTTTTTCTCCATCAAATAGAGGCTATTTTAAAGCACTGAAGTCAAACACTGATAATCCTTAACAGTACTAAATGACAAGATAATCCTACAACAGTGTGGCTCCAAGTTTTCTCAAGTCTATCGACTAAATAACGAAGTATAAATTATTCTAAAATGTTACCTTTTAGCAGATTTTAGCCCTTCTTGCCCATGAACAAGCTTTGTTACTTCTGCAGCAAGTCGCTTTTGAGGACCCCGCTTTTCTGGCTCTTTGACATGCAGCTGCATTATGTGGTTAATTTCTGAAAGGGGCAGAAAAGTGAAGAGCTTCAGGTACCTTAAGAACAAAAAATAAAGTATTAGGTTTACATCACATACTGAAATTTTATCTCCAGCTCCTTTACCCTTTAAAGAACATGCTGCTTGCTTTTATTTTTAAATATGAAATACAACATAAATGTACAGAAAAGTTATGACACCCATGTACACACTATCCAGAATGAAGATATTACTATTTAACTTATTTTTGTAAGAAAAAAATAGTATAGATACAGACAAATGCACTAGCCCTATCACATTTCTTTCCCTGCCTCAAAAGATAACCACTAATCTAAATTGGTGGACATCTTTCCCAAGCATGTTTTTATACTTTTATTTTATGTATATATACCCATAAACTCAGAGTATTATGTGACTTAAGCATTTTATATATAAATAAAATCTTTTAAACCTTTGGTAAAATATAACACATAGAAAAGTATCTAAATCACAAACATGGAGCTTAATTATCATAAAGCAAACATCTACGTAACCATCACCTGGGTCAAGAAATAACAACACTGTCACTATTCAAGAAAGCCCCAAAGTACCACAACCAATCACCTCCTCCAAGTTAACCACTATTCTGCCTTTTATGGTAATCATTTCCTTATAATTTTACCATCTCAGTATGGCTCTCTAAATAGTATCACTTAGTTGTGCCTGTTTCTAGACTTTATATAAACAAGATCATAAAGTATTTTTGTCTAGCTTCTGTGGCACACCATTATATTGTGTATACACTTGTTTCACAGTATAAATAGTCCGTAATGTATCTTTATTCTACTGTGGACATTTGTTTTATCTAGTTTTGGACAATTACTAAGTAATGCTGCTATGAATAGCACATATATTTATCTTGGTGGACACATGCACTAATTCTTTTGGTTATGTACCTACAAAAGGAACTGCTAAATATGGTTATATGCATCTTCAGTTTTAGTAGATATTGCCAAACATTTTTACAAAGTGGTTCCATCAATTCACTTCCCTACCACCTTGGAACAGCTCACAAACACTTGGTATTGCCAACTCTTTTATGCTTAGCCATTCTGAAGGGCATGTAATAGTGTCTTTTCATTATGCTTTTAGCTTACATTTTTCTCGTCATCATTACAATTAAGCACCTTTTCACAGATTTTTGGCCTTTTGGACAGGATCTTTGTGAAGTGGCTGTTTAAGTCTTTCCTCATTTTTCTATTGTTTTTTTCTTATTAACTTACAGAAATTCTTTATATTAATTTGAATACTAACTCTTTATCAGTAACATGTACTGAAATATCTTCTCCCACTCTTAATGGTAACTTATGATGAACATTAGATCTTAATTTTAATTTAGTCTAATTTTTCAATCTATTCCTTTTTTGTCCTTTTTAAGAATCTTTCCCTATCCCAAAATCATGGAGAAATTTTCCTGTATTATCATCTAAAAGTTTTACTATCTTATGTTTTGTTATAGATTAGGTCTGTCTCTATCTGGGATTGATCTTTGTATACAGTGTGAGGTAGGGGTTAAATTTCATCCACCCCACACACATCCAGTAATCCCAGAAATATTTAAGGCTGTTTTACCTTGCTGCTCGAAGTGTCATCTTTGTCAGCAAATAACCTTAAATACTTGCATCTGTTTGAATTCTCTAATCTGTTCCATTAGTCTCTTTATTTAACATTGTATTTTAAAATCTAGAGATTATTACAATTAAGTGATTATGAAATTTTCAAAAAGATATCAGTCTTGATACATTAAAACGCTAGGACTGTATTATCGAACACTCTAGGAATAAATATAAAGAAGGGAGGGGGAATCTTCTTAATTACTGTAGTTTTGTAATAAGGCATGATATCTTCCACTCTATAAGAATGTTTTGGCCAATCTTATTGGGCAATCCTTCCTGCCACTGAGTCAGTTCTGACCCATAGTGACCCTATTTACAAGAGAACAAAACACTGCCCAATTCTGCACCATCCTCACAAATCACTATGATGTTTGAGCCCACTGCTACAGCCAATGTGTCAATCCACCTTGTTGAGGGTCTAATACATTTTTGCTGACCTACTTTACCAGTGTTTCACTACTTGTTCATAAAGTTTTCACTGGCCAATTCTTTGAGAAGTGGATGGCCTCTTCCTTCTTCTAAGTCTGTCTCAGTCTGGAAGCTCTGCTGAAATCCGTCCACCATGGGCAGCCCTGCTGGCATCTGAAACATTGTTGGCATAGCCTCTGGCCTCACAGCAACATGCAAGCTACCACAGTTCAACAAACTGACAAACTTACTTAGCTTTCCAAACCATTCTGCTCACTTCCCCCTACCTGTTCAGGCCATCCACTGGCTCCCACTTCCTGCCTGGAGCTCTCCCTCTTACCTGAACACAGTCAGACATATGGATTACACCTCAATAGAAAGAAAACAAAAATCCTCACAACTGGACCAATAAGCAGCATCACAATAAATGGGAAAAAGACTGAAGCTGGCAGAGACTTCATATTATTTGGTTCTACAATCAACACCAATGTAAGCAGCAGTCAAGATATCAGGCAATGTATATATAGCACTGGGCAAATTGGCTGCAAAAGACCTTTTTGAAGTGCTAAAGAGCAAAGACGTCTCCTTGAGGACTAAGGTGCACCTGACACAAGCCATGGTGTTTTCAATTGCCTCATGTGCATGTGAGAGCTGGACAATGAATAAGGAAGACCAAAGAAGAGTTGATGCTTTTGAGTTGTGGTGCTGGCAAAGAATGCTGAAAAGTTCCAAGGACTGCTAAAAGAACAGATCTGTCCTGGAAGAAGTGCAGCCAGAATGCTCCTTGGAAGAGAGAACGGCCAGACCTCATCTCATCTACTTTGGTCATGTCAGAAGGGAATATTCCCTGGAGAAGGATATCATGCTTGGTAAAGTGGACAGTCAACGAAAGAGGGGAAAGCCCTCAACAGGATGGATTGACACAGTGGCTACAACGATGGGCTCAGGATTAGCAAGGATTGTGGGGCTGGCACAGGACCAGGTGGTATTTCATTCTGCTGCACTATGAGTTGGGTACTTGACGGCACCTAACAACAACAACTACTTTACCAAGCATGATGTCCTACTTAAGGGGTTGGTCCCTCTGGATGACATGTCCAAAGTACCTGAGATGCAGTCTTGCCATCATTGCTTCTAAGGAGCATTCTAACTATACTTCTTCCAAGACATATTTGTTCATTCTTCATGGTATATTCAGTATTCTTTGCCAACATCATAATTCAAAGGGAACCAGTCTTTCTTATTCATTGTCCAGCTTTCGCATGCATATGAGGCAATTAAAAATACCATGACTTGGGTCAGCCACACTTTAGTCTTCAAAGTGACTTTTTTGTTTTTTTTAAACACTTTAGAGAGGTCTTTTGCAGCAGATCTGCCCAATGCAATACACCATTTGATTTCTTGACTGCTGTTTCCATGGGCATTGATTATGGATCCAAGTAAAATGAAATCAATTATAACGTCAATATTTTCTGTTTATCATGATGTTGCTTACTGATCCAGTTGTGAGGATTTTGGTGAATCTTAGCTCTTTTAATTTCCATGTAAATATTAGAATGAGCTTATCAAGTTCCACAAAAAAAAAGCTTGTGTAGATATGAAGGAAATTAAAATGAGTATGTCCATTAAACTGAAAAGAATCTCTCTATGCCATGAATATGATATAGAGAGCCCTGGTGGCACAGTGGGTAAAGTGATTGGCTGCTGATAGGTCAGTGATTCAAACCCACCAGCCACTCCATGGGAGAAGGAAGTGGTAGACTGCTTTTGTAAAGATTTATATGTACAGCCTTGAGAACCCTATGGGGCAGTTCTACTCTGTCCTACAGCTCTCCTTTTATGTAGGTAGTCTTTATTTTCACTCAACAGTGTTTTTTAATGTTGTGCAGAAAGGTTTTACATTAAAAAAATTTTTTATAATTATTCCTACAGTATTTTGATGGTATGGTATTTTCTGAAAAATACTGTCACAGGTTTATCTCTTTTTTTATTAATTTATTTAAGAGTTTAATGCCATGTGAATTAATGAGAATATAAATCATTTTTAAAACCTTTATAGGTGTCTTATGCACCATTAAAGAAAAAGGAATTTAAAGTTACATTTGTGAGAGAACAGAAACTAGGGGAAAATAAGGTTATTCGAGTTTAGGATGAAAACAGTGAAAAAACTAGAATATGCAAGCAATAAAAGTCTTAAAGGCTTATTAGATGTAGATCACAAACTTGCCCCTAAGCTTTTAGCAAGTACAGTGGTTTTGTTTTTATAACTTCTATTCTTTGGAACACAGTTAAAATTATGTTTCATAATAATCTAAACAGTATGGTACTGGTGTAAGGACAAACATATAGACAAATAGAATACAATTGAGAATCCAGAAGTAAATCCATTTATCAAAGGCCAATTATTTTTTTACACGAGTTCCAAGTCAATTCAATATGGAAACAGTCTCAACAAATAGTGACAGGACAACTGGATAGCCACATGCAAAAAAATGATGCTGTACTTCTACCTCACACAATATATAAAAACTAAAATGGATAATGATCTAAATACAAGAACTAAAAGTATAAACTTCTTAAAAGAAAAAACAGTGTTCAATCTTTGTTGTTGCTGTTGTTATGTGCCGTCGAGTTGGACCTGACTCATAGCGACCCTTCCTTAGGTTCCCTAGGCAGTATCACTGGAAGTAGATTGCCCAACCTTCCTTCCGAGGAGTGGCTGGTGGGTTTGAACGGCCAGCATTCTGATTAGCAGTCAAGTGCCTTAGGCACTACGCTACCAGAGCTCCTGTTCAATCTTTAGAATCCATATATTTGGCAAAAGATTCTTAGATATGACATGAAATATATGAACAACCAAAGAAAAAAAAATAGCTAAATTGAGTTTCATTGAAATTAAAAACTTTTGTGCATCAAAGGATATTATCAAAAAGTGAAGACAAACTACAAAATGAGAGAAAATATTTGCAAATCATTTATCTGATAGAGGCTTACTGTCCTGGATATTATCAAGAGCTGTTACAATTCAACAATACAAAGACAACCCAATTAAAAAAAAATGGCCAAAGGACTTTAAATAGACATTTCTCCAAAGATACACAAATGGCCAATAAGCACATGAAAGATACTAACATCAGTCACTGTTGTTGGTTATGTGCTGTCGAGTCGGGCCGACTCACAGAGACCCCTCCTTGGGTTTCCGAGCTCTGGTAGCATAGTGGCTAAGACACTTGCCTGCAAACCAGACGGCTGGTGGTTCAAACCCACCAGCCACTCCTCGGAAAGAAGGTTGGGCAATCCTACTTCCGCAGTGATACTGCCTCGGAAATCCAAGGAGGGGTCGCTATGAGTCGGGTTTGACTCGACGGCACATAACAACAACAACAGCACTACCAAACCTTCCTTCTGAGGAGTGGCTAGTGGGTTTGAACCGCCACCCTTCTGGTTAGCAGTCAAGTGCCTTAGGCAGTATGCTACCAGAGCTCCTAACATCCTAACATCAGTCACTAGAGAAGTGAAAATCAAAAGTACAGTACGATTACTACTCACACCCAACAGGATGGCTATCATAAAAAAAAGAAGCATTGGCTAGTATGTGGAGAAACTGGAACTATCATGTACTGCTGGTAGGAATGTAAAATGGTACAGCCACTGGGGAAAACGGTTTGGCAGTTCCTCAAAAAGCTATATATAGACTTACCTATGACTCAGTAATTTTACTCCTGGTTATATTCCCAAAAGAATTGAAAGCAGGATCTCAGACACAATGTTCATTACAGCATTATTCACAATAGTCAAAAGGTGGGAACAATCCTAGTGTTCATCAACAGATGAATGGGTAGTCGTATACATGTACAACTAAATATTACTCAGCCATAAAAACGAATGAAGTTCTGATGCATGAATGAATCTTGAAAACATTACGCTAAGTGAAATAAACCAAACACAAAAGGACAAATATTATATGATTCCACTTATGGGGCGATCTACTTCCATAAAGATTTACAGCCTCGGAAACCAAATGGGGGTCTATGAGTTGGAACTGACTTGTGGCAGTGAGTTTGGTTTGAGTTTTATATTACGTATCTAGAACAGGCAAAATCAGAGAATAGAAAGTAGATTAGCAGGTGCTTAGGGGGAAAGAACATGGCAGAATTATTGTTAATGAATACAAAGTTTTTGTTTTGGGTTATAACAACTGCAAATAGTAGTAAAAGTTGTGTAACATTGTGAATGTAATTAATGCCACTGAAATATATATTTAAAAATGGATAAAATGGCAAATTTTATGTTACATGTATTTTACCACATAAAATTTAAAAAAAAGAATAGCATTTATTTCCCCTAAATTCAAACCTTTACCAAAAACACAGTTTTTAAATAGAAGCTTTGAAAAAGATTAAGAAAAAGAATTACAATGTTCTGGTGAGATGATTTATGCCTTAAATAGAATGTAAGTTAAAAAAGACTATAAAAGGTATTAAAAAAAAAAAAAACCAAACTCACTGCTGTCAAGTTGACTCGACTCATAGTGACCTCTCCTTGGGTTTCCTAGGTGGTATCTCTACGGAAGTAGATTGCCCAATCTTCCTTCTGAGGAGGGGCTGGTGGGTTTGAACCGCCAGCCTTCTGGTTAGCAGTCAAATGCCTGAGGCACTACGCCACCAGAGCTCCTATAAAAGATATATAGAGATTCAAAGGCAAAATTTTATTAGTGAATGAATTTTTCTCAACACTATAATAAAGAACTCACCTTTCTACAGAATCATCTTGTTGCCTCACCAAGAACTGATACAATTCAAATGGAGATGTTTTATCTCTGTTTAGCCAAACAGCATTGCCAGCTGACTTTCCCAACTTTGCTCCAGTTGTACTTGTTATTAGAGGGACAGTGATTCCAAATACATCTTTTCCAGTCAACCTATGCATAAAGAAAAACTTTTATTATGTGCTCCAAGCACAGTAGTGGTAGGTTCCATTACTCACACTTAAGATTTCAGGCTGGTCACTTACTCCAAGGAAACTTTCTTGACCTTTTAAGTCTGGATTACTTGCCTCTCTAAAGTGCTGCTATAGCACTCTATATACGCCGAATATGTCATTCTGAACTGCAGCTGTACCAGTGGCTCTGGGCAAGCCAAGGGGAAGAGCTGTGTAAGTAGGGACCACAGATTTTTTAATAGGCTAGATGAGAAAACTAGGTGAAGGAGGAGTCAGGAAGAGACACTAAAGGAAGTATTTTTAAAGGATTAAAAAAAAAAATTAGTATTGCCATGCAGCACATGGCCTAGTCCTGTTCTATCTCCCTCAAACAAATGCCACTAAAATCTACTTTACTTGCCAAATACTTGGAGCTGAATTTTTTTTTTTTCCTTGAGATGCCAAGAGGTGCAGAGATAAAGCAGAGGACATTCCATTAAGGAAACCAGTCATGTGGCAGGTATGATAGGAAGTACTGAAAATGTAAGGCATTTGACAGAACTAAAGCCACTAACTAAACTATGAACCAAACCTATTCTATTTAAAAAAAAAAAAACCCACCCATGTAGATCTGCTACCTCTGTAAAAGAAAATGGCACTCCCTCTCTGACCGAGATACAGTGAATTCCACAGAAAAATGCAGTTTGCCCACCCCACTCGTATATACCCTTGTTAGAAATGGCAGATGTTAAGAGATTATTTTACTTGTACAGGTGTTAGACATAATGTTAAACATGTAACTTTAGTGGCTAAGCCAATTCTCAGAAAAGGACCTCCCCCCCAAAAGATGTTTTTCTGACCCCTTTTACATTACCCTAAGGAGCTCCAGTGACACAGTGGTTAAGGCATTCGGCTACTAACCTAAAGGTCAGTGGTTCCAATCCACCAGCTGCTCCACAGGAGAAAGGTGTGGCAGTCTGCTTACATAAAGATATGTTGTTGTTTTTGTGCCCTCGAGTGGGACCCATAGCAACCCCTCCTTGGGTTTCCCAGGTGGTATCACTATGGAAGTAGACTGCCCAACCTTCCTTCCGAGTAGTGGCTGGTGGGTTTGAACCGCCAGCCTTCTGGTTAGTAGTCAAGTGCCTTAGGCACTACACTATCAGAGCTCTCTACATAAAGATTTAGAGCCTTGGAAACCTTATGGGGTGGTTCTACTCTGTCCTACAGGGTTGCTATGAGCCTAAATGGACTTAGCGGCTGTTCCTGGAAGACCATGGTCAGCCAAATCCTGTCACTTGTAGCCATCCTTACAAAGGAGGCCAACATGTACAAAGATGGTCGGTCAACCAAGCCCTGGAACCTGCAACTCTGTAGATATAACTAATCAAATGCTTCAGGTGAATATTCCCCTCCCATATTTGCGGTTTTTGCCTTTATTTTAACCTACAGCTCTTCAAAGCACATTGTTGGATTTCTCCCATCTTGTGAAACTTTTGTTCACAGTAATGAAACTCTTTGTTTTAAATTTTAAACAAACTCGTGATTCTTCAACTACAAGTGGCATAAATAAGCCAGTTTCCCAAATCAGAAAGAAACAAAGGAGAGCTACTTGGGCAAAACATATACAATCCACTCTTCTTAAACCTGATTACTGACAATTGGTTTATTTCGTAAAGAGCTTTAAAATACGTCCCTTACTCTTATTACCACAAATCAATCCTTCAATTCTACTAACCAGTTACGCTAAAGATTCTTAATGAGGATAAGACCAACAAGGGCTTGAGCCAAAAAAAAAACCAAACTCATTGCGGTCCAGTAGGGTCCAACTCATAGCGACCCCTCCCTATTGCCCAACCTTCCTTCTGAGGAGTGGCTAGTGGGTTTGAACGGCCAGCCTTCTGGTTAACAAATACCTTAGGTACTACGCCACCAGAGCTCCCAGGGCATTAACACAGGGTATGGTTCTTCAATCCTAATATTGCATTACAGACCATTCATGAATAAATTATTTGGTCCTAGGATTTCTCCAGGGTCTAAAAGCGCTTACTTGTGGATGAATTCGTATCCGGATACAATGTTGCCCAGCTGATCAGACCCACCCAGCTGGACCCGGCATCCATAATGCTGAAACAGGTAGTAAAAGTCATAGGCCTGGAGCACCTGGTATAAGAACTCTGACAAGCTCATGCCCTCAGAGCTTTTGAGCCGGGTCTGGACACTGAACCGGCTAAGCAACGTGCCCATGCGGAAGTGGCAACCCACTGTTGCCAAGAAGTCCACCAGCTGTTGCCTCTGGTACCAAGCCGAATTGTCTAGTACAGTGAAGCTGCCCCATGCCTGTCCATCAGCGAAGAACTGCTGATGATTAGCCGCCAGCGATTGTAGGCCTTGGCGCAGGGCGCGCGCGTTGGCTCCCACGCGTTTGGCGTCCAGTGCCTCGCGTTCCTTAGTGCGGCCGCTTGGGTCCCCGAGACGTGCCGTAGCGCCTCCAACCAACGCGATCACATTGTGGCCCGCTCGCTGGAAGTGAAACAGGCCAAGCACTGCCAGCAGATGCCCCACATGAAGCGAATCGGCCGTGGGGTCGAAGCCACAGTAGATAGTCTGGGGAAAGTTGTCCGCCCTGCTGCGGTCGAAGAGTTCTGGAAGCTCTATCTCCGTACTTCTGTTTGGAAAGAAATCCTTGAACAGGCCTCGTTCCTTCTGCGCTGCCAATAACCCCTGGGAGCCCGAGTGGGCCTTACGCGATCCCAGGGGCAAAACTGCTAACCCGCCAGAGGTACTGAACCACCGGCTACGACAAAAACACCGCAACACGGGCGCCGCCATCTTGATGGCGGAACAAATGGAATGCTGGGATCTTGAAGCTACTTTCGTGATTTTCTGCGCATGGCCCTATGGGGCGAGAACGTTTGTGCCCTCGGGACCCGCTGAAGTTTTGACTAAGTACTGAGGGATTCCGTGTTAGGGTCTGGCCACACTGTTGTGTAAAACTTTTTTTTTTTTTCAATGATAGTAGTAAGTACTTACCTCTTAAGGCTGTTGTGAGTACTAAGAACTACAGCTTTTGGCACTTGGTCAGTGCTGTACACGTTAGTTTTCATTTAAATCTTAACGATATTTTAAATTTTATTTAAATTTGAAAATAATGTGATATGCAAGCTCTTTGAAGTCTTAGCTGTATGCAAAAACTTAGAAAAGTTGTGAGAAGTTAACTGGTTTAACTTCATGGAGAGGTTATGGAGTTGGCGTTCAGATGCAAACAATTTTGTAGTACTAATTCCCCAAATGAATAATGGATGGGTGCATCTCCAAAAACCCATTGGAGTTCAGTCGATTCCTACTCATAGTGGCCCTATAAAACATTAGAACTGCCGCTATAGGGTTTCTAAAGCTCTGTATGGAAGCGAACTGCCACATTACCACATCTTTCAGTGGTTTGGAACCGCCGACCTTGCGGTTAGCACCGGGCACTTAACCACTGCACCACCAGGGCTCCTTCCAGTGCTCCTTAGTCCCGAGTATTCATGAACTTTCCCAGGAGGTGGCAGTCTTGTCCCACTTATATCGAGAAAAAAAATTGACTAGGCTGCGTTAAGCCCAATGCGGCTCAAACCCATCAGCCACACCTGGGAAGGAAGGCTGGGCAATCTACTT